GTCCTCTGGATGGGTTCTTCTTCAGTGAAACTTCTTCTTCAGTGAAACGTTCGTCTCTCCTCCAAGAGACTTCTTCAGTCTGATGAGTTTCAGGTGAACTCAGCCTTATAAGCACTGCCTCCACATGGTGGACAAACAGGTTAGTCACATGCAAAAGAGGGCCATCGCCTAACAATAGGCTTGATTAGCTCTATTGTTCATAGAGCTAATCATCTCTATCTCAAAGCTAACATCTAAAAAAAAGTCAGCAGAAGAACATTCTTTGGGCAAAAGAAAACAAGATCAACCTCTACCAGAATGATGGAAAGAACACAGTATAATGAAGGTGTGGTGCAGCTCATGATCCAAATTAAAGACTAAACTTCAGACAGATAGGCTCCCAAACAAACAGTACCTGGTCAAGACTCCAGACAGTCATTGTCAACAAAAGGTTTTCAACCAAATTAACATTTTATTTACAGTTATCTAATTTTCCGATTCCTTTCAAGCCTCTGAAATGAAGGGATTGTGTTTAAAAAAATGCTTTAGTTCCTCACATTTCTCCGCAGTCATTTTGTTGAACCCACTGAATTAAAGCACAGAGTCTGAACTTCAACWGCATCTGAAATATTTTGTTTAAAACTCACTGTGGTCATGTACACAACCAAAATAAAGATGTCTCTTTCAAATACAGTATATACAAGCCTAGCTGTTTGTGCCTGGAAAATACAGAATACTACCTCCCTTTGATTAACTTTTTATTCTCAGTATGTTAAAATGATTAAAAAAAAGATTATTTGAGCAACCTAAGAAAGCATCAAAAAGAAGAATACTCACAGATCTTGGCTGCCCTGAGAACCTACGGTTGTAATCGTTGATGTCTCTTAACATAAGCTGAGGTTCTGCTTCATCATCCTGCACCCTCTGAGGAGAGGCGGTTTCATGGAAGAGTGGGAAGAGCAGTGTTACCTGGGAATAAAAGAAATAAAAAAAAATTATATATGAGAGGGTTTAAAAAAAGAAGCAAGGACATATATTACTGCTCATTTGCAAAAATAGCACCCAGCCTTCTAACAAAAGGAAAATAAAGTATGTATTATGATGCATTCACTTGCAGCTGGTAAAATCTGGCTTCTYTAAAGGTTCTGGAGTCTTATTGTTMAGAACATAATCTATCCTACATATTTTCAGTCCTTTTAAAATTGATCTCCCATACTGTAATAACTTYTTGTTTTTTTCCAGTGTGAGAGTACATGATGCCACCTGGGAACCTGAATAGAAAGTTCAGAATGCTGCGAACTAGCTGTCTAACAAATTACACATCTCACCATTTGTCTGCAGATTGGGCAATTGATAGCACCCAGCCAGGTGCCATACCTCCAGTAAGCTATGATGCAAGAACCTAAACAGAAAGAATGACGACAGCACATATTAGCAACTAAAACACGTGTCAGCTGAGAGCACCTGATATCTTATTTCTATGAATAGCTGCAACTGCGCTCTGTCCTGTTTRATAAATCTTTCTGTAAATTAAAGTCAAAATATGTTTGAACAAAAAAGTTAAAGCCGTTTCACCATCAAAGACAAATGCCTAAATAGTAACCATATTCATGTATTTATACATGCTATCACTTTGTTACTATGACTAGAATAAGTACAAAACGGCTTACCACAGAAAAGGTGTCCACAGTTAGTTTCCACAGGAAGAACAGCCTGTTGTAAACACACAGGGCAGGACATGTCTGCGTAAAACTGCTGRCTGGCCTCTGCCTGAGGACTTTCGTCCTGAAAAAAACAAATCACTTACATAAAGTTCACACAAATAATTAATATATGATAAACTATTTTCAAACTGAGGACCACAAAACCAAACAGGAAAAAAAAAAGTTCATTTAAACAGTTGTGATTTATTTATAAAAGCCTCTTGGTTTCAGTTTCAGTTTCAATTCTTTATTAATTTCATTAAAAAATTATTTACAATATACAAT